TGCTTGAATCTAATCCTAGAGGAATTCTCAAAGGTAGATTGGGTGAATAGATGCATTTTACAGGGTCAAACCATATCAAAGTTCATATATAACAGTGCCTCTATGCTTGATCTAATGAAAAAGTACACTGGAGGACAAGAACTCATTAGGACCGGTATTACGAAGTCTGTATCCAGCTTCCTTTCACTACAGTCTATCTTGAAGCAAAAGTCGAGGTTGAAGCATATGTTTAATAGCCCTGAATACTGTACAAACTCCTTGTATGTAAATAAACCACAGAGCATATCATGTATTTCCATCGTTGAGGATAGTGATTTCTGGAGGGCGGTGGAAGAATCCGTGGCCATATCCGAGCCTTTTCTGAAAGTGTTGAGGGAAGTCGCCGGAGGGAAGCCTGCGGTGGGTTCTATATACGAGTTAATGACAAGGGCAAAAGAATCTATAAGGACGTACTATATAATGGATGAAAACAAGTGCAAGACATTTTTAGACATAGTAGACAGGAAGTGGCGAGACCAACTCCATTCACCTCTACATTCAGCAGCAGCATTTTTGAACCCTAGCATTCAGTACAATCCAGAAATAAAGTTTCTTAGCTCTATAAAAGAAGACTTTTTCAAAGTTCTGGAGAAGCTACTCCCTCTTCCCGAAATGAGACGCGATATCACCAGCCAGATATTTACTTTCACAAAGGCGATGAGTATGTTCGGCTGCAGCCTAGCTATGGAGGCGAGAGATGTGGTTTCACCTGGTAAATTTACAATATGCATTCATTATATATCTGTATCTAGGTGTATACCTCTGATAAAAACATATCCATCTACTATGACAGTGCTCCATTATGCGTGAAACCCTTCTGGTTTTGCTCCTTAAATCCTTGAAGAAAAGAAAGATTGTCATGCTTCAAAAAGTACATGCCAAGTTAGACAATACTGTATATCCGACTTGGTTTGCATTTCCGTTTTCTCGCTATATATATTGGATTTTCAATGTTATTGGTAATTCTTTTACAGGGCTTTGGTGGGAACAATATGGTGACTCTGCGCCGGTGTTGCAACGAGTTGCAATCAGAATACTTAGTCAAGTTTGCAGCAGTTTCACTTTCGAGAGGCATTGGAGTGCATTTCAGCAAATCCACTCCGAGAAACGCAATAAGATCGATAGAGAAACGTTGAATGACCTTGTGTACATAAATTACAATCTCAAGTTAGCTAGACATACAAGAACGAAATCTATAGAAGCCGATCCGATCCAATTCGACGATATTGATATGACTTCAGAATGGGTAGAGGAGAGTGATAATTCGAGCCCGAGTCAGTGGCTCCCCCGGG